AAAGTCGAAGTCTTGGATTCCCAATGTCGAAACAGCAAGTCATACTGTCTATGAGTACAGCAGCAGAGGACTGGTACGAACGGGTAGGTGTGCGCGCTTTTCAATGTCCAGATCGCGATTATAATCGCCCGCGTCAAAAGACGTGATTCAACCTGGCGTGCACCACCCCGTACTTACCTTCGCACGCCAGAGGGCGCCTCAGCAGATCACAGCGAAGATGTAAGTTCCGATACCAAATTGTAATGAACCCAGTCTGGAGAAAACTCGTCAAGTGTCGAAATGCAAGATATTAGCACTGATCAATGTCTCCAATAATCATGAAAAGTAATCCGTGATACAATGTCTTGTAACCAGAGGACGAAGGAGGAGAGACAGGGATCGAACTTTGGGAAGTTTGGCCCTCTAACATTCGGCGTTACCTCTGAATGGTTGGGGGGGGGGGGGGGGAAGACCCCCCCCGAACATTCGGGTGGGTAACGCTGTATATATATATGAAACTCCGACGAAACAGTTTGTCACAGCAGCTCGTCGTTTGTTGTCCTCTTCTCCCTCTCTGCCTGCGGTTTACCGTCGGTAGCTCTGTTTGACGATATATGTATATTATATATAGAGCGTTAGTGGTGGGGACCTTCAGTACGTGGCCATGCTAAGCCTTTAGTGCCAGCGGCGTGTCTGGAGTGTATCTTCTGGCTGTGACAAACCTTTGTCTGTTTCTTGGGTGTTTTGCTGGCTTGTGATGAGGTGTGAACCTGCAGTCTGTGGAGTTTGCATGTGGAGTGGATGAGCGATGGTCTGCATTGGTTTTCGTTACAGGTACCTTGCTGAGGGCAGTGGTTGGTGGTCCCCACCACCTCAGAGGGGTACCAGTAGTAGTTGGGCAGTGGTTGATGCTAACCACAACCGGGTTTAAGGTGGATGGTTGCTTAACCAACTGTGCGCATGTGTGCGAATAAGTTGCCCGGGGATACAGTTGGTTGAGTGGGAATTGTTGTCTGGCGCTCAGCGCCATAGCCGTCTCGAGACAAGCTTGAATCTGAGCTGGCTTTGATTGTGGAGATTACTGTTTTAGGCCAGCTCTGAAGATCCTGAAATTCCTGAAAAACTGAAAAGAGCGAATTTTGCATGAAAACACACTTTTGTCTTGGGGTATTAGGCCCCTGTGATCCATTTTATTACTGTTTTTTTTTTGCTGTTGGTTTATTTGGTGTCCATTCTATGGACTGGTGACAGTCCCACTCCATTTTTTTGGAACCCTAAATTTTCAGGCTTAAAAGATGAGGGACGTTTGTTATAGTGAACCTGAAAAAACCCTCCTGAAAATTTAGGGCTCTGTTAACCGCTTCTCTGTCTGGACGGAAATGGGCAGACCAGCCTAGCATAGCAGGAACAGGTGCCCTGCCCATTTCCGTCCAGACAAGAAAATCCAACCACTGGGTGCACACACACACACACACACACACACACACACACACACACACACACACACACACACACACACATGCACAGACAAGGGCTCTATTTACAATTCTTAGAGCAGGGTGGGGGTTCAGGGACACAGGCCTATGGGCCCCCCGACCCCTTCAAAAAAAAAAACGTTGGCGTTTGCCAGATTATCTAGCCGGAACACATTCGGGCGAACGCATAATGTGTGCAACACAGATGCTTTCATTTCTTTCACAATTGGGCGGAATTGTCTTTCCTTGGGAATTTGCGCTTCAGAAATGACAGGATTGTAACATGAGCATCCTTTTGCACCCTTTTGGAGTGGGGCAACGAGACGTGCCTCCAGAGTCGAAACATGTCCCGTTTATCCCACCTGTTTGCAGTGGCAGCCCAATGGCCCCTTAAGGACTGGCGTGATGCGTCATTAAACATGACCCACACTGCGCACCCTTTTGTGGTGGCAGCCTGATGTGTACGTACTGCCGAATAGAACGCCCTCTCGTTAATGCTGCATCTGGACTAGAAGTTGCCCCAAATACAGATATAATAACCGGGTGCTCTATTCGGTTCGGGTGCCGATTTGGGAGAGTGTCGAATTATTCCCTCACCCCATGAAGGAAATGTTCTTGTAAGGGAAAAACCTAACTGTTCTTTTCTTGCCATTTTGGATGCATCTGGACTAGAAGTTGTGGTTGTTTGAATCAATCATAACTCAGATTCATTTCATTGACTTCAGTCAAGGAATAACTGTCTTGACGCCAGCTTTGGCTGGATTTAGGCTCGCCAGAGTTCAGATGCAATAGGTGAATAACGGGATTTGAACTTGTGTTTTCAAATTCGCAATCTGCCACTTTGACCTATTAAATTATATTCGCCGTGGTCCCAACTCGCTCGAACTGACGAAGTGTTTTAGTCTGTCGTGTATACCACTTTTACCAAGCGAGTACAGATTTTAAATTCAAATTCACTACTGGACTTGAACTTATAACACTTAGGAACAGATTTTAAGTCTGCTGTCGTGTTTACCATTTTCACCAAGTGAGCTTGTATACACCGACGCGTCAGTGCTTTGGTTCCTTTGATTTCAGGTTGGGTGCTCTTTAAGTTTTTGAAATGCGCTGCAATCTTTCACCGTATGGATTTCCGGATATTTCAACAACCTCGTGCATGGGTCTTTCGTAGACACCCTACCTGGGGTGCGATCGAGAAAGAATCAAGCATAGCTGCATAAGTACTTCCCTGAGAATCAAACTTAAGCATACTTGCAAGCGGACGCCGTCCGCGAGGTTCCGCACGTGCACGGACTGCCGGACAGACCTGCGCGTCGTACGAATGTGCGCCCGACGACCAGTTACCCCCCCACCCCCCTCTCCCCCCCAAAAAACGACCCTGTCCGGTCTGGGTCTGTCCGGTGCGGGGGGAGGGTGCCGCACGCGGCAAAGCGGTTCAGACCGGACGCTCATCCGGTCCGTCCGCTTGCAAGTATGAACTTTAGTCTTTAACTATTGACAGGAATGTTAAAGGTCCAACAGCCCAAGTACTTTTGCAATTACGTGAAATGCGTCTGGACAATATAATATTTCGTTTAGGAATGGCACGTACTATTCCTACGGCACGTCAACTGGTTAATCATCGCCATATCTTAGTTTACTATTCATTCCATATTATCTATAATGACCAGCATGAAGGAATGTTCTCATAAGGGAAAATCCTCACTGTTCTTTTGTTGCCATTTGGATGTATCTGGACTGGAAGTTGGCCCAAATACAGTTATAATGACCATCATGAAGGAAATGTTCACATAGCTTATTTGTTAGAACTCTCTAGGTTCCATAGGGGAAAAACCTAACTTTGTTTTTGTCTTGACATTAACTGTTTTTTTGAATTTTTCTTGTCATTAAGTTGCATTAACTGACGTTGTCATTAACTGTTTTTTTAACTTTTTTTCTCTTGCCATTTTGGCTTTTTCTTCGTCTTATCTGTTTGAACTTTGTGGGTTTCGTAATGTGACATCCTAACTCTTTTTTTCTTGTCATTATTACCTAGGTTGGGACGGCGCCCGGCGGGGCCCGGTGGGGTCCGCCCGGCTGAACTGGGCGTCACAAAAACATAGCAAGGAATTTTTTT